TCCACGACACCGATGTCAAGGGCCAGAAATTGTACGTCGGCCGCGCGCAGAAGAAGCACGAGCGTGAGGAGGAGTTGAAGAAGCAGTACGAGGCTCAGCGTCAAGAGAAGAACGCCAAGTACCAGGGTGTCAATCTCTACGTCAAGAACCTGGCCGATGATGTCGACGATGATGAGCTGCGCAAGGTCTTCGAGTCGTACGGTGCCATCACATCCGCCAAAGTCATGCGCGATACCATTCCCGCCGATCAGGTTGAGGATGCATCGCAAGACGAGGAGAAGAGCGGCGAGGAGAAGAAGGAGGAGAGCACCGAGGAGAAGGGCGAGGAGGAGAAGAAAGAGGACGGCGTGGAGGATATCGAGAAGAAGCTGAGCACCGTCACCATCGGCGGCGAGAAGAAGATCCTCGGCAAGAGCAAGGGCTTCGGCTTCGTCTGCTTCTCCAACCCCGATGAGGCTACCAAGGCCGTCACCGAGCTCAACCAGAAGATGGTCCACGGCAAGCCCCTCTATGTCGCTCTCGCGCAGCGCAAGGAAGTCCGCAAGAACCAACTCGAAGCCAGCATTCAAGCGCGCAACCAGGTGCGCATGCAGCAGCAGGCAACGGTTGGAGGCATCCCGCCCCAATTCATGCAACCGCAGGTGTTCTTGGGCCCCAACGGCCAGCCTATGATGATCCCCGGAGCCGGTCGTGGCCAGATGCCGTTCATCCAAGGCATGCCCCAGCAAGGTGGTCAGCGTGGTGGCTTCGGCGGCATGCCCCAGCAAGGCGGTCGCGGCGGTCCGGCCGGAATGCAGCAGATGCCGCAGATGGCCTACGGCTTGCCACCCCAGATGGCCGGATTCAACCCTGCTTTCGCTGCCAACCCGCAGGCGTACGCTCAGATGATGGCTGCCGCTCAAGCACAAGCTCAGGCTATGGGTGGTCGTGGCGGCGCTGGTCGTGGCGGCCCGCCGATGATGCCTGGTATGCTCGGCATGCCTCCTCAGATGATGCAGGGCCCTGGTGTCGGCGGTGGCCGTGGAGGTTTCCCGGGCCAGCAGCGTGGTGGCATGATGGGCGGACGCATGCAAGGCGGCCCAGACGAGCAGCGCGGTCGCCAAACTACTCGCGGCGCGCAGCTCGGCGGCGGATCTCCTGGCGTCGACATGCAGCAGCTGAGCGCTGCGCCTCCCGCACAGCAGAAGCAGATGTTGGGCGAGGCTCTCTACCCCAAGATCCAGGCTCAGCAGCCCGAGCTGGCTGGCAAGATTACCGGAATGTTGCTCGAGATGGACAACCAGGAGTTGCTGAGCTTGTAAGTGTCAAGTCAAGAACGCGTGTTTGTGTCAGAACCCCCGCTAACGTACGATTGCAGGACCAACGACGATGATGCCCTCCGTCTCAAGGTCGAGGAAGCGATGACCGTGTACGACGAGTACATCAGGAACCAGGGCGGCCCGGTTGGCGAGGACGCTGCGACGGCCAACGGCACGGAGAACGTCAACCCCGCTGGCGACGCTGGCAAGGACGCCGAGTAAGCAGTCCATCTGCTGCAACTCGCCATGCCCCTCATCTTTCCTGTTCGACTGGATATGCCCACGGCATACATTACACGATACCCCTTTTGACCGCGCTACGCACCCAGCCGGCATCTCTTTCTTTCCACGAGTCGCACACCCTCCGTCCTACCCCTCCTGTACGATATCGTCAGACCACCTTTCCTATCGATGCGGCGTCGGAGTTGTATCAATGGTTCGAAAATGGAGTTTAGGCTTCAGCCTCAGCATGGCAGATTCAATCGGGGGTGGGTGGATGGAGTGTGGAGTTGTATGATTAGGTACTTCAATGGGGATGCATGTGGCCTCGTCTTCGGATGTGGGCTGCTTTAGCTAGCCCTCTAGAATGAGTAGTGTGCGATATGAGTATGAAGCTGAGTCTTTCAAACACCAATGTGCTTCTTGTCATCCCAGTACGTGCACGTATGGTGGTCCCACCTTACGATATCGCGCTGATATCCAATTCACAGGATGCATTGCCGTAGGAAGCGGGAGCGTATCATGTTGGTGAGAACGGACTGGAATGTCCCTCGATCTGGTCCTATCTATCATCAACATACCCCCCAAGCCGACAAAAGTCATGAGCAAGCGCTTAAGCCGCAGTAAGCATGAAAACATTCATCAAGCATGCATTCCCCTCGTCATGTCGCCGCTTCCTTCGCTTTATCCAGCTCCGGTGCCTCGTCAATAAACTGCGGCGGCCCAGCACCCTCCGTCAAGAACCCCGGCATCTCACTCTCCCCCAACCCCTCCGCCCCAAAATCCACCTCCTCACCCAGCGCCTCCAACTCAGCATCCAACTCCGCCTCATCCACCTCCTCCGGCACATCATAGCTCCGCGAAATGCTCTCCTGGATATCGTTCCCCATATCCATCAAATCCGCCATCTCATCCTGCATCTTCTCAATCTTGTCAATGTTGATTTTCCCGTACTGCTTGCGCAGCGCCTTCTGCGTCGTCTTCATCGCGTCCACGGTCGCCATGGTGTTTTTGAGGTTGTCCTGCATCATGCCCGCCTGCTCCATGTTCCAGCTCTGCTGCACGAGCTGGTCCTTTTGGCTCTCATATTGCTTGCGCTGTTGCAGGACTTTGAGCGCTTTTTGCTTGATGGCGTTTTTGCCCGGCCCGTCGCGCATGCGTGCTAGGCGTTGTTGGTAGGTTTGGAGTTCGGCGTTGAGTTTGGAGAGGCGAACGTCGATTGTGTCTATGCGGCCTTCGACCTGGAGATGGGGGTTAGTGGGGGGTAGGTTCTAGGGATTTGAGGCGGAAGGCGGTGGAAGACGTACGCCGGTGATGGCATCGTTGAGGCTGGGTTTGGGCGCTTGGCTTTTGGCGCCGAATAATCGGTTCATTGTGATGTGCTGGTGCTTGTAGTTGTGGCAGGCGAGGATGAAGTCGGAACTCGACTTGCGTGTCGTGGTGGGATGCCGCGGAAGTGGGGCCTGTGCTGGAGCCTGGAATTTGGCTGGCCAATCACAATCCAGCTTTAGCGGCTGCACAAGGCCAGCGCAGCCGTGCATTGAACGTGACTTCCCTTCTCGTCGATCTTGACAGAGCGCTCTTTCTCTCTCTCTGCATAACGTTTGATTTCGTTGAGGTTCAGATTCAAAAACGCACTTTCACTCCACAATACCCTTTCACTTCACAGCGACCTCGCTGTACGAGCGGCTTTCAGCACCATGGCGTCGCGTGAGACCAAGGCTTGCGCTGACACCACGCTGTGCTGGGCGACCCCAGTCCGAGTCGAAGTTTTGGGAGCTCACTTGGAGACATACATCCAGTTGTTACCGACAATCAACGCCCTGCGACTCTGTCATCGGTTCGGGTCATCATCGAATGCTTTCGTCGCCAAGCTTCCTCAAGAGCTCATCATGTATATTGAGCGCCTACTCATCTCTGAAGCACGGGCACGGTCTCTACGAGCCTGGAAGAGAGACTTTCGATGCTTCCAACAGAAATGCAAGCCCAGTGAACACGTCAGTAAGGAAGCGTTGGAATCACTGCGCCAACTCGCCATCCAAGGAGAAATACCGTGGGACGAAGCTGAGGACTACTACGACGTGGATAGGCGCATTGAGTTGCATCTTCGAGATGAAACGTCAGAGTGGGAGAAGAAGCACACCAAGCGTGCTGAGTCGTGGCAGGCGCGTGTCGGCGCATCGTGGCAGACACGGTTCAGCAAAGATCAAGGATGCTGGTTCAACGCCAATGCCGACCTCATCTCCACTCATTTCGGTCTCGAGGTTGCGCTCGTCCATGTAGACATCGACGAATATGGCCAAGAGGAGGAGTTGTGGGAAGACTTTGGAGACCAATATCCGACGGGGACTACAACAGCATATCTGCAGCTGCCCAGAGCCCGCACGGAGTCTTTGCACTGGAGGTATCCAATGCCAGATCCATTCGGTTGTTCTTTCGCCATGCAAACTGGCCACGGGATGCTCGTGAAGGTACCGAAACAACTTCCGACTTCAGCACGTCACCGTACCGATCGGATCATGTCGATACTGGGCCTCAAGCCTTTCATTGCGCCAAGCCAGGAAGGCCTCGCGCTCTCGACGGAAGATGAGTTTGAGCACCATGGCTTGGCAAAGACAATGACATGGCCACAGCTCATGCTCATCGTCCGCGGCACGACTGATTTCGAGGGCACTCACTGACTGGACTTCACGAGGGGCTTGTATCGGCCACTGAGGACAGGCGGGCTGGCCGATGTCTTTGCTAGATGACTGATGCGGGACAGACTGAAATCGCTCGCGTACCCTCAACGAGGCAATCGGAATGATGAAGGGCACATCCGTGGTTAGAGTTGCGTTCAGCACACGCAGGCCGCTGTCTGCGATTGCCCAGTGATGAGTATAGTGTATTGTAGCAGATAAGATGGGAAGATGTGATCATATGCAGCGAAAGTCTAAACGGACATCCCCAAACTCTAAACCAAAATTTACTTGAATGTCACATGCCTGTCTTTGCGAAGCCCCGTCAGCTTGCCGCGTTCTCTACATATTTCATCCACCCCTCATATGGCGCCCTGTGAGATATGTACGACGAATCGCGCCCAGATCCTCCGCCCCAAGACGAGAAGCCGAGTATGCGGACCCTGCTTCACCGCCGCGTTCGAAGCTGAAGTCGCCGAAACCATCACAACCACCCACCTCTTCCAGCCTGGCGAAAGAGTAGCAATAGGCGCATCAGGCGGCAAAGACAGCACAGTCCTCGCATCAGTCCTACAGACCCTCAACATCCGACATGGCTGGAAGCTCGACCTCGTCCTCCTCTCCATCGACGAAGGCATCCAAGGCTACCGCGACCACAGCCTCGAAGCGGTCAAGAGGAATAGCGCGGATCTGGGTCTGCCACTCAAGATTGTGAGCTATGAAGAGTTGTACGGCTGGTCGATGGACCAGGTTGTGGCGCAGATTGGCAAGAAGGGGAATTGCACATACTGCGGTGTCTTTCGGCGGCAGGCGCTGGATCGCGGCGCTGCGATGCTGGGAGTTGGACATGTCGTTACGGGACACAATGCCGATGATGTGGCGGAGACGGTGCTCATGAATCTTTTGCGAGGGGACTTGCCGAGACTGAGTCGAGCGACGAGCATTGTCACTTCGACACCCTCCGCCAGCGTGAACAAGGACGGCGGGCCGAATGGTGCCGTGTCCTTCACCAATGTCAAGCGATCGAAGCCTTTGATGTATGCTTATGAGAAGGAGATTGTGCTTTATGCCCACCACAAGAAGCTCGACTACTTCAGCACTGAATGCATTTACTCGCCCGAAGCATTTCGCGGCTCCGCGCGAACATTGATCAAGAACCTGGAACGCATCAGGCCCGAGAGTATTTTGGACATTGTGCAGTCCGGCATGGATATGGCGAAGTTGGTGCCAGACACGGACGATGCTTGCAAAGGTTCGGCCGAAACGGCGCAAACGGAAGAGAGTGCTGGTGGATGTGGCAATGCGAATGGCACATCGAAAGAGGGAGAGATGGCTGCGATGGAGAGGAAATTGCGCGAAAATGAGCAGGCTGAGCAGGATGGCACTGAACACGAGGTTCGATTGCCTGCAAAAGCAGCAAATGGGCAGAGGCACGATAGAGATACGACGAACCTCGAGTCTACAACTACAGCAGGTATGAACGGTGGGCAGAACCACGACAGAGATCAACCTCAGCCAGTCACCAGCATACCTATCCGGACCAAAGAGAGACGCGGCAATCGGAAGGCGGGTCGACATGCAGCAACACCCGCGCAAAAACTGGGTCAATGCGAGAGATGCGGCTATCTGTCCTCTCAAGCGGTGTGCAAGGCTTGTGTTCTGCTTGAAGGGTTGAACAAGGCTCGGCCTCGAACGGATATCGAGGTTGGGGGAAGTGGAGGCTGAACAAAACTCTTCATTGCACTTCAAAGTACAAAAGCCAGCTACAACTCGACTACGGCTATTGCATCGGCTTACAACTCCGCCGCGAAAGCAGCAATGTCTCTGACGGCACTCTTGTGATAGGCCGGAATGACGGAACGGAAGATGAGGCTCGACGCGTGAATCACGCCCAAGTTCAAACTTCCCCTGGCCTCGACGCCCGCTTCCACTAGGCGACGAAAATACGAGATGCCTTCACTCTTGAGCGGGTCCAGCTCGTCCATGACCAGGTTGTGCGGCGGGAGGCCTTTCATGTCCTCCAGCGTGGCGTAGTACGGCCAGGCCAGCGGATTCTGCTGGTGCTCGTCGGTGGGCGTGTAGAAGTGGGCAATGTACGCCGTGCTGCCTCTTCCGATGAAGTAGCCGTTGCACTCCACCAAGCTAGGAAGCTCCTTCAGCAACTTCTCCTCGGGCCAGCCCCAGGCATTACTGATGTACGGCACGAGCGCATACACGCCGGCAATATCCTTCACCCAGCCCTCGCGCTTCGCCTTCAGCGCAATCGCCAGCGACAAGTTGGCCCCGCCGCTCTCGCCCTCCAGCACAAGATTGCGCACCTTCAGCTTCTCCTTGTTCGCCGTAATCCACTTCGCCGCCGCGACGCAATCATTCAGCCCCGCAGGGAAATGGTGATACCCATTCTTCGTCCACGCATTGCGGAAATCCGGCATCACCACCACACACCCCTGCGCGGCAAGCGACTTGCACCACCGATCGTGAATGGGATTCATCGTCGTGCCCACCACCATCCCGCCACCATGCGAGAACATAATCCCCGGCAGCGGCGCCGTCTGGTCCGCAGGCCGATACACATACACCAGCATATCCTGCCCGTCGCCCCCCGCGATCGTCTCCTCGACCATCTGCACCTTCCGCTCGTGTGCATCCCCCGGCAAATCCACCGACACGCCCCCATTGTACATCAGCAACAACCCCTCGTTAAACTCATTCACCATCACGCCAATCTCGTCGAGCGTGGAATTCTCATCCAGCGTCGCGAGCGACGCCGGCGGGCCGTGCGTGCCCATCCCGATGGCCTTGATCGTAGGCAGCAGCTGGGCATTGGCGCGCGGGTCCTCGCCTAGTGCGAGCGTGGCATTTCCCAGACGCCCGGGGGCCGTGTAGGCTGCGCTCGAGGCGTGCGGGGCGTGCTGGTAGTCTGGGTGGAATTCCTTCTTCGCCTGCTGCGAGGCTTCTTTGAGCTGGGCTTTGGCTTCGCCGGGCATGGTTGCGCGGGGGGGGGGCTGTTGGTGTGTAGTTAGCAGCGGGGTTAAGATTCGTCCTTTGAGGGTCTCTCCGTTCGTTTGCGGAGGGGATATGTGGTTTATATCAACACAGTGCAGCTGACAAATGACAAATGGACAACCCCATAAGTCCCACCTTCGACCCTGATGTATAAAGTTGCCCTGGGGTTACAAGTTGCGGAGATCGTTTCCCTTGGCGTCCATCTTCCCCATTCGACCCCTCTCGTCGTTGCTTGCGCCAATGCGCGGAGCAGCGCCGAGCTCGCCGAGGTATTCAGGGACATCCGCGGATATCTGGCAATCGGGACAACCTCACGTGCGCAGGTGAAGAGAGAAGACGTGAAAAGATGATTGAAGCAAAGTAGGAGGCCTTGTCTGATTGTCCAGCGTTCCTAGCGAATGTGGTCTCAATTCTATCTCGATTGCACGCCTCCCAAGATCATAAAACTCATCACTGCGTGGTCCCAAAAAATACAGCTACGCCGCCGGAAAAAGCAGAATGCATGTGGTGTATATAACGGTTTTGTTTGCCTTGCGGGGGTCGTCGTCGTAAAAGAAGATGAAAGCCACATGTCCGCCGAACCATTCCAATAATTGTTTCATCCATGGGCCCGAGGACCGAAGAAGGTAGAAGGATGCAATGAATGATTGTGCTCTGAATCCATGAGGCATCAAGCGTACGCTGGCCGTGTCAGGGTCGTGGGGAGGAACTTGGAAAAGAACGTGCTGGTCTTGAGCTTCTTCGCCGGGTGCGGATCGGTCTGATCGAGCGGCAGGCTGTGTGCGAGAGGAGCAGCGTTCGGCAGGACGGCGGGAAGCGGTTGCTTCGGCAGAGCCGTTGCTTGGATGTCGACGATGGACGGATGATGGCTGTCGTAGTGTTGTATCGCCACGGGAATCTCCTCAATCATCGGGTCGTTGTAGGAGGAGTTGATGCTCTCCGGCGAGGTGGATGCTCTGCAGGACTCGAGCGAGGAGTAGGAGGCAGACGAATGACTTCGAGTCGGCGGCGACAGGGATGGGGTGCGCGAGGGGGCTCGAGAGGAGCCGGACAAGGAAGCGGCGGTGGCGGCGGCGTAGTATGCGGATCGAGATGCGTACTTGTCGATGAACGATCGGGAGGATTCGTAGTAGGATGACTCGACAGCCACCGTCGCCCTCCTTTGTTGCTCCGCGAGCAGCTGCAGGCGGGTTTCCTCGAGTCTCGCCATCTCTTCCCGTATTCTTTGCTCCCTCTGCTTCTCGGCTTGTCGTGTCTGCCATTGGCGGATGGGAGCGAGGAAGGGTTCGAGATGGTAGTAGAGGTCATCCTCAGTGATCCTCAGATCCCAATCGAGGAGGCCGAGGAGCTGCTTCTCCATCAGGTTGACTTCGGTCAGGCTGAAGCCAAAGTGGGGGTAGCCGGTGACGGCGGTGTAGCGAGCCCAGTGCTTGTTCTTGGGCGAGGAGTCGTTGAGGTTCTTGGCGGCGAGGATCAGGGCGGCGAGGAAGATGCGATGCGAGGTGCACTTCATGCCCTTGGCGACTGGGGGCAGACGTTGCTGTAGACGCGCGAGGTAGACGAGCGAGGTCATCAATGTCGGGACTTGGACGTGCGATCGATCGACAAGGGTGCTGATGAACTCCTCCAAAGAGGGCAGTTGCGGCTCCGAGTACAGCGATGCAGTGTGCTGGGGAGGGGTGCTGGGGGGAGTGGGTGGCAGACTCTTGTCCATGTGAGGCTGGCCCTCGCAGCGGATGACTTGCGAGGCTTTGCGTGCGAGGTAGGACACCATGTCCGGGGAGACAGGGAGGTAGATGAAATGGTCCAGTGCGGCCGCATTCTGCGCCGGGGTGGGAAGGGTAGCCATTGCCATGGTGGATGATCTGAGCAACGGTGGTGTTGCTGTCGAAGATGGATGCTAGGAAGCAGGGCGTGTAGACAGCGGTCCTTATTGATTGTCGTGACAATAGCAACAGAAGGTGGCGGAGTGAGATGGCAGGCAGAAGATTGCCAACAATAGTATTAGTCCAACAATAGGCTGCTGCCTTGCCGTGTCCAAATGGCCGAGAGGTGTCAGGCTAGATGTGGGGAGAGGGTTGAGGTGAGGTGAGGTTCGTGGAAGAACGTGACGGCGTAACAAATGACGGTGTGGCTCGTGAGCGGTCGTGGGTGAATGTTGACACTTGGTCCCAGGCAGGCGATCCACGTCGAGGTAGATGTGTGCGAGGGGGCGGATCAATGTGGCTTTCCGACCAGCGGAAGGGGTGCGACGGTGCTTGTTGAACGAGGGCCAATCGACGAAAGGGTGAAGGGTATTGGCAGGGAAGGAGTGTGACTTCGACGGGATCCTGGGATAGACAGCTGCTGAGAGTGTCTTCGAGACAGGATGAGGGCCGATAAATGAATGTATAGTTGAGAGAGAGGCAGGGTGTCGATGGGGACGAAGGAAGGGAATTGGCCAAGCGAGGGAGTGGGCGGGGAGGTGTAATGTACTTATTGCATGCCGCCCGCTCGCTCGCCCGCCCACCACGCAAGGCAGTTGGGGGAGGGTGGAGTTGGAAGGAGCGAGCGGCTGCAGGAGACGGCGCTGGCGAACGATCTGTTTAGCTGGGAAGGTACGTGCAGTAGGTCGAGGGTGTACCTGCCGCAGCAGCCTGGGTGGGGCGTGGGGAGGCGAGGCGGTGATTGGCCGCCCCGCCGCCCTGCAGGAGATCGCTGCCGCCGTTCGTCGTTTCCCACAGGCGTTTCACCTGATTGCGCGCCGGCTTAAGGCTGCTCCCGCCGGGTTTCAAGGCCGCAAGCGTTGCACCACTACCGCCCCTCGAGCAGTGAGAGGGCGAGGAGGGCCGGATGGACAGTGACTTGAGGCGACTCGCGTGTCGCCTAGCAAACTCTGCTAGCATCGCTCGCTCCAGTCACCTCGCCAGGCCAGCGTGGCTTGGGCGAACATGCCTCTGCTGCAGCAAGGTTGTCTGCCACCCAACCCTGTCCGGACAAAGAATGGAGAGTGGGCCAAGGGAGCCCCCCGTCCCGCCTGGCCCCGAGCGAGAGGTGCGACACGGCTCTCGACAAGGAGCAACTTACCACCAAACCATTTGCATCTAGTGCCCGCGCTGTGCTGGGCAGCCTGTCGCACCGCCCTGCAAACGGGCTTGCGTGCGTGCTTGGTCCAGCCTCCCCTGGCGATCTTGGTAGCGTGCGCTGGATGCATTCCCCGCATGCAAGTCAGTCGTCAAGCACGCATGCCTCGCCAGACACCTGCATATTCGCATTATTCACGCCTCTGCAGGTCTCTCTTGGCCCCGCCATGTCCATGACAATGGTCGCCTACGCTCTCGAGCGAGTGAAATGGTGGGGAGGCGGAATGAATGGATGGACGGGGGTTGGGCGATGACGAGCAAGCATTGAAAGGGAGATGGCGTGGGATGGGATTGCCCCCAGTCGCGATTTGCCCCGACAGCCAATCACCGCCGGCAAATGGCATCGGAATTGTCAGATTTACATGGCCCTCGACGAACCACGTCCCTCGCCTCGACGGTTTTCTGTTTGTTGGCCGCACTATACACACGCTGACCCGGCTGGAGCGCAAGAGTGCGACAGTAGTGCAACGCCCTTTCATTCCACTTCCGGCCCTCCCCTTGGCCCATCCCGGGCCTCTCCTTTCTGCGTACCACACAATGTTCAGGAGGTCGGCTTTCTAGCCTGCCCTCGCCATTCCGACTGCCGAGTTAGCAACGCCTCGCGTGAGCCACCAACCAGGACTGCAAAATTAGGCCGAGCAACGATCATTGCAGCTACAACTCCTGTACACCTCGATCCATCTTCTCCATTCACTTGGCCACCGTCGTATCTTGCAATATACATTGTGAATCGTGTTGCACATCGGGTTTTCCCATCGACTGGTCCAGAAGCGTACCCGGCTATTGCTTGTTTTGGCCGCTTTCGGTCCAGCCACCACGCCATCTCCACAATGAGGATTGCGAACACGTCGAAACGAGCGCACTGCGTTGAAGCGACTGCACGCTGCAAGTCGGCATAAGCGATCCTCCCACGACTCCCCTTCCGGACGTGTATGTAACACTACACGCCCGCTACTATAGGCGCTCACCTTTGAAACCCGGCTGGGCGGTTAGTGGCGAAAAAATAGCTACATCTCGTCCATCTGGCTGGCGCTTCGACAATTCGTTGATCGACATCTGCGGCGACGCGCCCTCGATAACCTCCCTCGCGCCTCCCTCGGCTTGTCGCAAGCGCCAGGTGGAGATCGGCCAACCTCCTGGCCTTCATGCACGGCAGAGACGACGTCCAAGCGATTCCACGCTTCTGTCTCGCATGTGTTCTCGTTGGGCTGCATGAACCTCGTCCCACAACTACTCCTGTTGCTCACTGTCATTCATCTGCCGCAGACACATGCGATGCGAGTGTCCACGCGCTCCCTCACAACGACGGAAGCAAAACCGGCAAGTCAAATGTTTGTTGTTCCTCAAGCTCCAATGGCCATCAAGGTTACCTTTCTACCTGAGGTGCTCACGCCTTTGCTACGTCCCAGCCTTCACATCCACCAGGATCTTCACATGCTTGTCCTTCTCCTCAATCAACTTCATGTACCCCTCCTTGACCAGATCATCCATGCGAATCTTACTCGTAATCATGGCTTCTGGCTTGAGCGTTCCCTTCTCTAGCGCAGCAAGCACGCCTTCATAGTCCTTTCTTTGATACCCCAGCACCGCCTTGTACGTTGCTTCACGGAACACCAACCAATTCGGGTTGAACGGGATCTCCTTCTCCCAAATCGCCACGTTGATGACGGTTCCACGCGACTTGACGCTCTCGCACGCCGCCTTGACACTCGCCGGCACGCCGGCACAGTCAAAGGCAATGTCGGGCCCGGCTTCGCCTCCGCACAGCTCCAGAGCCTTCTTGGCCACATCCTCCTTGGTGGGATCGATGATGTGGTGAGCGCCAAAGTCTTTGGCAAACTCCTGTCGCATCTTCGCCACCTCCACGGAAATGACGGTCTTGGTGCCTCGCGCGAGCAACACCTGGATGACTGCGAGTCCAATCGGCCCTCCGCCGAAGACGATGCACTTCGGCTCCTTGATGCTGGCAATCGGGCTCGCGTCGACCGCATGCCATGCAACGGCCAGGGGTTCAACGAGTGCGCCAACGTCGAGGTTGATGCCCTTGGGCAGAGGGAAGACGGCGAGCTCGGGGACGACGACTTCCTCGCTCATTCCGCCTCCGGCACCACTCAAGCCCACAAAGCCGCCCTTGGAGCAGGCATTCTCCGCATTGTTCTTACAAGCCCCGCAACTCGTGCTGGTGTCCGACTCATGCGATCAGCAATGTCTCTTGTCGAGAGTGGGAACGGAGCCACCCACCAGTATATCGTCGGCTGCACCACCACGTTCTGCCCGACTGTGAAGCCCTTCACGCCTTTGCCCACCTCTTTCACGACGCCGGAGAATTCGTGACCGATGGTGATGGGGATCTTCTCCTTGGTGATTGGGTGCGGCTCGGTGGGTGAGAAGCTGTACAGTCGCGGAAGTCAGCTCCAATTCCTTCAAGAGAAGAGTGACAGGGGACCAAGACTTACGTCGGACCTCCCATATACTCGTGCCTGTTCCGATGGAGAGACGAATCAGTGAGTGCCATTGTTATGTTCATGAAAGGAGTCCCTACAGGTCGGTGCCGCAAATGCCCACAAATGCAGGCTCGATCTTCACCTGACCATCTCCCGTCTGCGGTCGCGGCACATCGTTCTTGATCTGGATGTCTTTGATGCCGTAGTAGCGGGCGGCACGCATGCCCTTACCGGCCGTGTCGACTTGGATGGCTGTGGTCGTCATCTTGTGCTTGTGTTTTGAGATGGGATCAAGTTGAGGGTTGATTGAGAAAGAGGAGGAAGACGGGATGATACAGGGAAGAGGGAAGACTTGAGTCGAGAGCGAGTGTAATAGAGAGCACTTATATATGCTCTAGATTTCTTGGACGAAGCGGCCCGATTCAGGCTGCTCCTCTCTCGCGGCAAAAGTGTTTGCACCACAGTCCCGAGCGACACCATGTGGCCGTGATCTACCGAACGCATCTCCGTTGCTCCAGTTTGGCACCTGCTGAGGCGGTGCTGCGGGGTGGCGGGGTAGGTTGTTCCAGCCTCAGGCACTCAAAAGTGCATTTCTGGAGATATCTAGCGAGCCTGCCCCTGGCACTTCTCCTCATCTTTCATTCAGCCTGATTTTTGCATTGGCACGATCACCAATCCCTTGGCCGTGGCGTACCAATCAGTGCCTCCAATACCGCAGCAATCGGACTAATACCCTGTCACGGCCTTAGGCAAATACGGCTCCTCGAGGTACGCCGCATCCTCCTTGCTAAGCTGGTAATTCGAATTGAACACCGCCTGGTCCACCCGCTCCGTACTGCTCAGCCCGATAATGGGATTGCAGCCCTTGGACAGACTCCAAGCCGTCGCAATGCACGTCATCGACACCCCGCGCTTCTTCGCTATCTCCTCCACCCGCTCGACAATCTTCTTGTCCACCGCGTTCTCCCGCTCGCGATACATGCTCTTCAAGAAGCGGTCGTGGTCTTCGCGCTTCGTGTTGCGTGTGTTCCACGGCCGGGTAAGCACGCCGCGCGCCACCGGGCTCCACGGGATCAGCCCGACGTTCGTGGCGTTGCAGTAGGGGATCATCTCCCGCTCTTCCTCGCGGTAGAGTAGGTTGTGGTAGTTTTGCATGCTGATGAACTCGTGCCATCCGTTCGTGCGCGCGATCCACTGTAGTCTGCGTTGCAACGTCAGCCCTCCACTCCATCACCTCGATCAATGCTCGGAAAAAATAAAAAAAAAAGACATACTCCTGAAACTCCCACGCAGCCATCGACGACGCCCCAAGATACCTCACCCACCCCCTCTCCACAACATCGTTCAGCGCGCGCATAATCTCCTTCTTCGGCGTCGCGCGATCCAACCGGTGAATTTGCAGCACATCAATGTACGTGCCCAGCCGCTGCACGCTCGCCTCCACGGCGTCGAAAATGTGCTTGCGGCTCAGGCCGACTTGGTTGACGTCGGCGCCATCGTTGACGATCGCGAGCCCCGCGCCGGGCACGTTGGTCTCTTTGACGCCGAAGAAACATTTGCTTAGGATGACGAGTTTGGAGCGCGGGATGGAGAACTGCTTGATGGCTTTGGCTACGATGCGCTCCGAGTCGCCGTTGGAGTAGACGTCGGCCGTCTGGAGTATCAGATCAGACGATTCCTCGACCTTCATCGAGAGGTAAAAGGGATCAGCGTACGTCCCACGTGGTAATCCCGCGATCGTACGCATGCTTCAGAATCGGCAGAGATTCCTCTTCATTCAACACCCTACATCATCCTCAGCACCCTGCATTGTTCAAAGGGTGAAATGCCAGACGATCCTCACCATCCCTGCCAATCTGGCGATCCAAACGACATGCAGCCCACAATCACTTTACTGACTTTGAGCCCGCTTCCTCCCAGATTGGTGTACTGCATTTTAGGCTGCTCGTCGCTGCCGTTCGTGCCATTGGTGGAAGCCATATTGTGTCGAGGTCGTATGGCGGTGCTGTGTAGTTTGCGATGGGGTTGGAATTGTCGGATTGAGATGATAAATCGAGGTGATCTGCTTGCTAATAAATACATGGTGTGGTGTTCCGTTGTCACGAGACGGACGTCACATCGGATTTAAGAATTTTAGGGAAAAGCAAAGTCCGATTTGGGCGGCGATATGACGATCAGCCATTACAGTACGGGTAAAGAGACATTGAATAAATGCTCATGCATTGCCGGAGAATGATTCTATAATACACCCTTCGAGACACACCCCTCCGCTAAAGTATATGAGAATGTCTGATAACATGTACAGTCGAACAGAAGAGGCAAGGTTAAGATAGTCCTCCAGGAAGAAATCGCCGACGTTGACGGTTGATTTCCTCGCAGCGGCCTTGCCGCGGCGACATAGATTGTCAGCAAATTCCACAGTAGCTGCACGTTGTTGCAGGTCGTGAGTGTCTTCAGCAAAGCGAGGAACAGAAAAAGTCGACATGGCCGTATTAAAGAGGCTTGGCTGGACTGGAAGGCGCAGAGCCAGCATCGAGGAAAGCCTCGGTTTGCACACTCCTCAATCGTTGCACGCCCGACTGCACCGCGCGAAGGCGCTTTGATGTCCGAGGGGACTCTTCCTCGATTGGACGCTTCCTCAAAGCATCGGTCCACCGACTGGGGGTCTTGAAGGGAGTCATGGAGGCGCGGAGGTCCAGTCCGGAGCCCGGCGTTTGCACGATGTTGCGCGGCTTGAGTCGCGATGCCGGGGTCGCTGGAGGGGGCATGTGGTTGGCTTGAGATGCTGGAGGTGGGATGTGCGACTGATCTTCCGGCGCCGTCGGCTCTGCAAGTCTAGGGAACTGCACGAGCGTTAGCACGTGTTGTCAGGCAAATGCTTCGCGAAATGGAACTTACAAGATGGCGAATGTGCAACATAGGATCGAACAGGTTCTTCTGCATCATGTCGTAATCTCTCCCGCTCGTGACAGGCACCAGTCTTACTTTCCCAGAAGCCGACGATTTCGCTCTCCCAGAGCGCTTTGCGGGGATGACATACCCCTCGTGTTTCAGATGCTCGTAGATGGGAGCGGCAGCAGAGATGCTGAGACCTGCAAAAACATTAGCACCGTTCACGGTGACCATCTTCTCAATAACATACCCATGTCCGAGGCGAGCTGCTGTTGACTTGTGAGGCCATTCATGCGGGACAGTTGCATACCTCGACGTTGTTGTGCAAGTCCGTGAAGCGTCTTCAAAGTTTCTTCCTCCCTGCCACCCAGAAGACATTGGTAGCAGGTGTGGTATTCAGGCAGTCGTGGATCGTCTTTCCCCGTGTAGCCATAACACTCTAGATGTTGCCATGTGTCGCAGAACGTGCATACAACCTGCAATTGGAGATGAGTAAATGTGTCAGATGGCAAGGGCAGTGAATATTACCATCTCGCCATCTTCTTTGGTGCTGCCGCACTGACACAGAATGCGATCTTCGCCGCCTTCTCCGTTGGGTGTTGATCTTGCGAGTCGGTGGGCTTCTGAACGAAGCCTTTGACTCTCGCTCTGCAACCGCTCGAACATCTCCTGCGACAATGAAGGCCGTTGGTGATGCTCTCCATCACCGGCCACAGCAGGCCCCAGCAGTGCATTCTTGGAGGCGAGCGGGGTGGGTATCACGGGACGGGAGTCTGATGGAGCGCCTGTTGGTTTCTGAGATTGAGTATCGCCCTGCGTCCATGACTCTGGTTGCATCATCGACACAAGATCTGCTGCCATGAATTGCACGTTGCTTGACTGAGTGTCCACGGCGGTTTCTCCTTGCGAGACTGCTGCAAATAGTGAGCTTGCTAAGCGTGAAGATTTGCGTTGTTGGACAGAGGTGCTCAGATTGTTTCGATGGCGGGTTGAGGGTGGGATATCAGCAAACGGTGTGAGCGACGGTGCAGCCTTTGATCTGCCATGAGTCTGTGGTGAGGGCATGATTGTCTCCTTGTTCATGTCGGCATCCACTATCGTTGACGGAGTCGTCGACGCTCTGCCGCCCTCTTTGTCGCGAGACTCACCCCTTGAGTTTGGAACTCTCCGGTAGGTGTTTGGAAAGAGACTGATGGCATCGTACTTGGAGACTGGCTTTCCGTATCGAATGACACTGGGAAATTCAGATAGCTTCCCTTTTGGAGCTCCATCGTCTATCTGCAGGTGGGAGATGGTGAGGTTGGTACTGGAGCGGTGTTAGAGAGATACAACATGTGCGGTGCAAGAGCTGCGCTCACCAGTGAAATCGCGAATCGACCTCCGTGAGCTCTCTATTCAGTTTACTCCAGCCGGAGGATTCGGGAAAGTACAGGTTTGTTGAAGTGCCCGGAATCCACCCATTTCGCGCGTAGAGTTCGTCCCCGTCGTGAGCGTAGAACATCTCCATGGTCACAAATCGCTTGGCTGGGTCTAAAGGTCAGCTGGTCGTTTGTGCATGAGTGGATACGGGCAATCTGCAGACCTGGGAGTATTGGAAGTGGCTCGCACAACTGAGATACCTTGCGGAAGAATTCTTGCAGAGCAAGATTGCTGATCTCGACATTCAAGATTGAGCTGGCATGGGAACCTAATTCGATGCCGGCAAACATCTGCTCAGATCCGCCCTGCGGACCGTACTTGATGGTGAAGGTATAAGTTTCGATGACTTTGCTTCGATTGTTGGGTTCGGCGTGGACGTATATCTGGAGGGCTCGCAGCGTTCCGTCCTTCAAGGCGACGAATGGACCGTTTTCCTGGTAGGAGAAGTCAGCCGGACCTCAATCATGAGCGCAAGGAGTTACTGACAAGCCATTCCAGTAGTTTGTTGACTCTTTTGCTTCGCCCGCGTATCAATACTTGCATCTTGGTCTTCGGCTCCTTTGTGGACGTGTGTTCGGCTAATTTGCCGGCTGCGTAGTCTTGATACGGGTGGATTTGATCACCCATCCCGTACCATTGCTCTCGGTATGCGTTCACAGGAAAGAGGTGGCTAGAGGAGTCAGCGGAAGGGAATGGTTGGCGAGACACTGGGCTTTACCGCAGAAAGGTGACTGAGCTGAGCTGTAGGTAGGTGTCAGCGGAAGAATCTCACAAAGGCCGGGACCGCTCGCTTACTCCGCCATGGAGCATTGTCTGGACAAGGTCGAGACTTTGCTTCTGGTCGATCGCAGTCGAGGTGGTGTACGTCTCAGCATTGACGGTTCGGTGGAGCTGCACATTCGCCATGATCGCTTGCTTGGCAGGGCCTCCTTCCTCGTTTGATGCAGGCCGGTGCTCGAATCACATACGTCACTGTGAAAAGTAATGGTTCGAGAGAAGAAGAAGAAGAAGAGGGAGATTGATGGTGGATGGTTGAGGAAAGGTGGAGCAGAAGAGGTGAAGTGGAAGTCAAGTCAAGGAGGAAGGTGCGACCCACCACATGCCCTCATCCTCAGCAACCTTCGACCTCACAGCACCTAGCCAAGCTCTAATGCTCTTGAATACAATGAGATTGATACCGGCGGAAATGAAAGAATGGGGACCTCAGCGATATCCATGACTGTCTTGCAGCTTGCACGTGGTTGGTGGCTCACTTGATCCCCCTCGGCGCCTGGCATATGCTCGTCGCTGAAGCATTTCAAGTTCGTACTCCACTCTCTATGCGATCGAGTAACTCCTTAGCGAGCTGGCGGGGATGATGAGTTTATAGAAACGCCTCCAGTATCGCCTGAAATGCTCGCCGTTGCGGCATCGATGAGAGTTCGATCCTGGCACCCATTCTGCAGGAAGACACCATACTACAGTCCCGGCACCAACGACCACCGAGACTCTCGCATGGCTTTGGCACTCGCGGTCCTCTGCAAGGGTGAGATGATAAGCAATTTGCCGGAATGAACGCTACGATCCAGGCCGCAGAATCGCTGTGGCCGTTCGATGGAACGAAGCAGTCGTCAGGCGTGGAGTTCCAACACAATGGGCAAAAAATATCTTCCTGCCGGCAGGGATGATATATACGCCTCGACTAATGGTAGACGCGAGATCGCTGGAGAGAAGAATCGAATGGATGAAGACGAGCAAGACGAGATGGATCGGCCGCGTTTGTCAGCGGATCCACTTTGCATTCCTCCGCTCCAACGACACCTCCTCCTCGACGCGTCCACACACTCTTCATCTAGCATGTTAACGTCTGCTCAACTCTGTCTTTTGAAGCTCCAGAGTACCCTCAATCACAAATAAGGCCACGGATTGAAGAGAAGTCCTCAACGTGGCATTTCCGCGATCATCCCGGCTCCATCTACCAGAGCGCGCATGGCGATGCATTTCGTTTCAAATCAATATCGGAGCATAAAACATCCATGCCGAGGGCATTGCATGGAAATAAAGCAGTATCCGCGGGCTTTGAAGACCTCTTGTGGTCATAGGTATCGACTCAGCAATCAGCGCTCGTAGGGTACGCCTACTCCAGCCATCTGGCAACTTCGGCAACGTTGCCATGGATCGCAAGGACTGGACTCTCCGCGCGAGAGAACGAAAGTGAGTAATCGAAAGAGAATGTCGATGGTACTGTTGAGGCGACCTCTCCGAACGAATCCCAATCTTCCCTCTGAGTATGCACGATTCTGGTCATCCGCCGAATGGCAATATCGCTCTCTAAATGCAGGCTTATAGCAGCTGAGAGGCGTATCATGGGTGAAAGAGCTTCGTAAAACAGCGGATATGGTGCAAATGTCGATTTGAACGAGCTGGCTGGTCTGGATCTGCGAATTCGCTATCGCAATCCTGCTGCGTGGCTTCGCTCTCACCGGATGCCCCTGGAAAATGAAAGCCCCCACGACCTTCAATCAATAGAAAGAATGAGTCTTCGGCGAGAGGTGCAGGATAATCTGTTTGGCACCGGAGGTGAAGTTGAGGCTGCGTGGCGACGTTTGCACACTGAGTTCGCGTGCCTTCCTGATCTGGCAATTTTCGCTGCAGGCATGATGTCGCTGCGTGACGCAAAGTGGGTCCCCGAATGTTATGAGCGCACACAGGCATCGAATTCCTCTCCTTTTGCTTCATTCTGCTTCCTCTCCACGCATCATCCTCACCTCAACATTGTCCACCATCCCTTTGTGTGCGTCATTGTTTGGACAAGGCTTACCGTGACTGCGTAGATCATCCTCACCTTCAGCTTTACAGCAACATCACCCTGTTTAGGCTCAGCAGCCGCTATCGCCTTCGACATTGTGACAGTGTACCAAGATTTGTGCAGAGCGAGCATTGGCAGTCCCAGCCCATCAGCCTGCTTTGCATCCTCAGAGTGAGTCTCGCCTGAATATCCAACGAACTCTGCTAATGCACTGCTATAGATGTCTGCAAACAACTCCAAGAAAGCCTGGCCGGGTGATGAGTACGACAAGCAGACTGCAGGGAATCCCGCGGCTCAACACCATGTCCAGCTCCCAGTCCGCCCAACTGTCATCACCAGCTTTCCTCAGGGACTACACGCTCTATCGTCAGCCGTCGTTACTGGCGCGGGAAGTAGCAGTGCTTCAACAAGTCAGGGGACTCCGATGAGTGGCTATCTCACTTCCGCCAGCACTCCCCCCACGACTGCAAGCTCTTCCGCTGCTCCATCTCTCGGAACGACCCCAAGCTCGGGCATAGCTCCAAGCCCATCGTGGCAAACCAACGGCAACGGACGCGTCAATGGGATGCAGCAGCTCGCGGGGCCGATTCCAGCGCACCTCGCGGCCAACTACTTGCCCGGGCTCGGCCTGCAGTTCGGTAACACGTCTCCCTACGAGAGCACTGCCAATCAGGTGACTATGCCAGAGCGCGATGTCATGCAAGGCCCTGCCTGGTCCACTCTTGGCAGTCGTGCCTACCACTACACTCAAGCCAACATTGTCGAGCCGCGTGTCCACGTTCAGCACGGCGTCTCAGCAGGCGTTCCCACACCCAAGACTCACCCCCTTCCGCCGAAGCCTGTCGGAGGTCAGCACGCCATATGCGAGCAGCATCACGTCTCTCCTGTCAAGCATGTCGAGGCAGCTTCAGCGAATCTTTCTCGTCCGGCTGAGACCGCCAACACCACGCAAGTCAGGGACTTTGCCAAATACGTCAACCTGCGGGGCTCCGACACCGATAGCATCATCACCAACCCTTATGCTGAAGACAATGGCTCGACCGTCAGTACGATCTCGTCGCACTTTACCCATGACCGTCCGCATCTCATCGGGCAAGAGGCATCTATGTTCGAAGAGAGGCCCAACAAAGGGAGCTGGCGGATGCAAGTCAGAGACAATGGTCCTTCAATCAAAGACGCAGCCCCTGGTGGTGCAGGCTTCCTCAGCGCTCTCAATCCTCCGAACTTCCAGATGAAATGGGGTGTAAGTTTCGCTGCTTTGAAAGGACATGAATTCTCCAGCTGACGTATCTCAGGACCGTGTCGTCTGCATCAAGACCAACTTCGTTTCCAACATTCACGTCTCTGTCAAGTCGTGTCTGTGGGCGGAGTCTGAGAAGGTCGGGCTGCGCATCAATCGGATCTGGGAGGCGCGTCAAAAGGAGACGGACGATGATGCCATCCTAATCTTCTCCATCAACAACCAGAAGTCATTCTGCGGCCTGGGCAAGATGCGTGGGCCGTGGAAGAAGGGTCTCGTGCCTGCAGGATGGCAGACTGCCGCCGATGGCACGATGGCCGAAGGGTATGTCGTCCCCATTGCTCAATGAAGTTGACATGACACTGACCGTACTCAAGGACCTTTCCCGTGCAGTGGGTCTTCGTCAAGAACGTTGCCTACGACCACTTCAAAGACGTCAAGCATCCCAAGACCGAGCAGCCCATCGTCAACATGTGGGATGGCATGCACTACCCATACGAGGAGGGGCGGGAGGTGGTGAAGATCTACGTCCAAAACGCCCACTTCACCAACGTCCTCGCATTCCGCAGCGACAGGCCTTACCACCCGTTCAAGTACGTGAGCCGCACCGGCCTCCTCGACCCTCGATTGAATTCCAATCGGCAGAGGTTCATCAAAGGTGCACCGCCGGCGGGTGATCAGACTCCGCGAGGCAATGCAGACTGCCGCACTGTCTCCCTTCGCGTCGACACCACACCCTTCACTCCCTCGCACGCCACCTTCGACGGCCACGCTAGCCCAACTCCTCTTCCGGGACAGGTGGTTCAGTGCATCATCGACTCCCGTGGGAATTACGTGCCGCTTATGCCATCCTCGCCGGCTCCGATGCTTCAAGGCATGCACGGCGCTTTCCAGCCCAACCAAGGTCACTTTGCTGGCAGTCCCGTCCACGGTCATGGACAGTCATTCGCTTCTCCTGTCGGCAACCCTCCGCCTTTCCAGATGAATGGCCATGGTGGCTTCGCTGAACCTCAAGCTCACGGTCACGGCCAGCCATTCCCCTCTTCTAGCGGGATCGCTGCCAGCTTCCAGATGCCTGGTCATGGAGGCTTTCCCGGAGCTCAAGTCCATGGCCACAACCAGTCATTCGGCTCTCCTCACGGCAACGCTCCCGGCTTCCACATGCCCAGTCACAGCGGTTTCAATGGTGCTCCAGTCCGTCAGCCATTCGTCCCCCCTGTCAACAATGGCCCCGGCTTCCAGACGCCCGCTCGTAATGGCTTCGGTCATCCGATGATGGGCGGACAGTCTTTCAACAACGCCGGCCCTGCTTACCCGCCCAGTCCATCCATTCTGGTCACTCCTCCGACGATCAAGCGTGTTCAAGCCCCAGCTGGCCCGCAGTACACCCCCAGCAACCTGCGCGGAATGCAGTCGATGGCCAACATGAACACAGGCTACCACGCCGGCCCCGTCGCCACTCCTCCCACCGCCCAGCGCGTGCGTGCTCCGGTCAACATGCAACACGAGAGTCCGACCAACCTGCGCGGAATGCAATCCATGTACAACCTGAACACCGGCTACCCCGTGCCTCCCATCACCGACGCCGACCTTCAAGCTCTGTACCACGCTGCGTCCAACTCCAATGCCTTCGCTCCCAGGACTCCCTCGGAGCACTTTCGCGCGGACCAGAACACTTCCAAATTCACCATCCCGCCCAAGCAGTCTACGAAAGGCTCGGATGACGATGACGATACGCCAGAGCGTAAGGAGAAGCAGAAGGAGTTGGATGAGGTGCAACGCCTTATCACCGACCTCAATAGCAAGTTCTCGATGCTGAACTACAAGATGGGGCAGAAGAAGGGCAAGCAGGTCGAAGTGCTGGAGGACTCGCCGAGGAGTGAGGACGCGAAGAGCCTGTCCTCCTGGTTCGCCGGACAAGAGGAATTTGAGGGAAAGACGCCGTCGCCGCCCTCGACCTCCCGGTCCGGGACTTCGATCGCGCCTGCCAACGAGCAGGACGACGATGCGGGGTCCGTGTGCTCTGTGGAGACGCATGGCGGCGTCTCCTTGGAGTGAAGATTCTTTGTGCGTGCTGGTGCTTGCGCGATACTTGCGTGGTGTCTGTTGTGGGGGTTGGGACGTGTCTTTTCTGCTCTGCTGGAGCTCCGTGAGAGGGAGGTCTTGTGCTTTGTGTCTTTGTGCTTTGTGTTTTTGTCTTCTGCTTCCTTGAGAGTGTGTTAGTATAGCTTGCCCTAATAATCCAATGAACCGTTGCCCATCTTGCTCATCTCCATTTCATTCTTTTCACCCGTTGCGTATGCCTCGCAAATCGAAAACATGCAAAAGGAACCAAAGCAGCCAAAGGCCTATTGCAGCTGCACCCGGCGAAACCTCGTCACAACACACACTGTCTATATATAGAATCATCTACGCATCGCCTCTAACCAATGACCGGCAGTATCAAGTGATCTGTTGGTCAGAGGCCAAAAAATGCAAACCTGTTGGGGTCCTACGAGTCTCGCCTTGCTTTCTCTCCTGAAAAGGAGTTTGTTTTTTTGTG